TAGCCTACTTTAAACTTGGCACTGCTGTGGCAAATCAATTAGGGATAGCTGGGCAGGCAATCCCATTGCTGCAGCTGCCTAGCTCATGCAGCCTGGGTCCCTACAGAGAGCTGCTCTTTCCCGCTGTGTTGCAGGGGGCTCACATGCCTGATAGACCTCTAGTTTGGACAGATAATGTGAAAAGAACTGGGCAGCACTGCCAGCATCAGCCACAGGACAGGCAGAGAGCAAGTAGGATATCATCACCCAAAAGTTTGTGAAGCAACCACTACCTTTGCTTGGCACAGCATTCCTGCCAGTGCAACATGACAAACAGCTGCTTTGATTTTTGTAGGTGTCTGTACAAGATTTCCCATCCTCAGTGTCCCTCTCTCCTATTTTCAGTTTGGTTTGACTCCTCAAACTACTGTTTTTCAGCTAGTTTGAAAAAAGCAGCAAAAAATCAGTATAGGTTGAGTAAACACAGCGGAGACTCCCCAGAAGGTTCATAAACCTTTCACTAAGCTACCCAGAGCTTCAGTTTTCCACCAAAGTGCCTGAAAACTTGTCTGCTTTCCAGTTTCATTAGGAGGCTGTTGCGCAGCTCTAGCACTGATACTGCAGCAAGGACCTTTTGAAGCTGCTGATTGGCAAGTCTTTTCCGCCTCTTTTCTAATAAAAAAGAATCATACACACTAAGCTTTCTAAAAAGCAACTGTACTGGCACTCAGCCACAGAGGAAAGTACAGCAAAAGCCCCTGATGCTTTTACTTTACAATAAATTCAGACAGCTTTGTTTACAAATGGGACTGACCTTTCATTTAACTAACGTTTTAAAGAAAATCTGAGAAAATTTATTAGTCCGCTGTGTCAAATACATTCTCTGAGCAACAAACAGACCTCTGATCCATTTTACTTGCGTCCAGACATTTCAAAACTGGTTTAGTAGATGTTTTCCTGTTTTCAGTTAATGGGGGCTTATCGTGGTTTATACACTGATTCTGTTCCCTTTAAAATTAACCACATCTCCAAGGTGCAAGATTAAAAAGCTCAAAACCATGTGCTCTTACCAAAAATCTCAATTTTTTTTCACAAAGACTTCCAACTTAGACTCTCCCCGGTGCAACAAATCACATTTCCATAGCATCACTACAGCAATAAAGTGCAAGATTTTACCAAAACCCCTTAAAAAAACCCCAATTTACTTTTTTTCCCCTCCTTTCAATTCAAGCTTCTAACTATATTTGCACAAAAAAACAGAAGGTGTTGCATATGAGTACAACCAAATGACAGCTGCCTTAGTCAAATCCCTTTTGCAGTCCTGGAAGTATTGGGAAGCACTTTATGGCAACTTGTTCCCAGAAAAAGCACTTGAGCGGCTGCAAGTTCCCAGCCCTGGGGAAAACCTGGCTGGTGAGAAGCAGAATTAGCTTCAGTAACAGGAGGTTGCTGGAGGAGAACATGAAGGAGAAAGTTTAATTCTTTATTGTGACAGATTTCAGCAAAGGCTTGAACTTCCGTCTCCTGCATTTCGCTCAGGTGCTCTCCTCTCATGATTAAATTAATTGCCATTTGTTTTCTCACTTTTCCTCTCACTTTCTACATCTTTAAACATTGGTCAAGAGGGGAGCAGCTCCATCCAGCAAGCTCAAAGAGGCAGAGGCTTCAGGTCTACAACCAGGTCCAACTGAGCTCTGGCTTGAAGCCAATTGCCCCTTCACCTCCCTCCCCAGCAGGCAGGGTTTCATCTCCTGAAATCTCCCCTCCTCAGGTTTCTTCCCAACATCACTTGTAAAACTCTCCTTTTGCTTTGATGAAGAATGAAAACCAGACATGCCAATCCTCACTTTTTTGTGAGGAAATCTTCCATCACCATTTCCTGCCAACCCCAATTGTTGCCTTATTAACATGCATATATTTCAAGGGTACAGACTGCCTCACTGGTAGTGGGAATTTGGATAGGAATTTTGGAGAAAGGACACAACATGCAGCATAATGAGGATCTAGATAAGGAGAAAGTTTAGACTATCAATATTTGTACAAATATGTTTCTATATTATAGATGATGATTTCTGCAAAACAGGAAGTATTTCAAAAAACGGAATTGTCCTGAAAAAACAAACAAACAAACAAAAAACCCCCCAAAAAATGGAAAATACAAAAACAGGAGGAGATAAAATGAAGGTATTCGTAAAAGAAAGTGACTTTTAAAAGTACAGTGATGGGGCAGGCTATAATGAATTTAAATACCAGCCTGCAATAAGCTCCATGTAACAGGATCCCTCAACCCAGTCCAGCTCTTAGGGAGGTTTCAGCTCCACTTTCCAGGCATATCTCTTTGACCTTGTCTCTATCACATAAACGAACTGAAATGAACATATGTTTTTAAGTTTGTTTCTGAAATAACCAGACTGAAGCAGAAATACTGCACTGCCTACACTACTCTCCCCCCACCTTCCTCAGGGGAGAGAGCAGAGAAAAACCATGCATGTTAGTCACATCAGATGAAGTGCTACAGCGATGAGGATTTATACAAAACAGAGACAAAAAAAGTCTGTTGGGTCCCAGCTGCGGGTGAACAATGAGCTGTGAGACCAGGGAGCGACTGAGTGCCAAGGCTCGCTCACCTCCAGCCTTGGTGGACTCCCCGAAAGCACACATCAGCCCTGAGAGCGTGCAAGAAATCACCAGGCATGGTGCAGAGGGGCCCTCTGCAACGTGCAGAGCTGAGGGTGTACACCAAGAGAACCCTGTAAACAGATTGGGCAAGAAGGGCAAGGTATTGCTGCCCCAGCCCCTGCTGCCCTTTCACAAAAAGAGGTAGACCACACCCAAAGGACTACAGGTACTAAGGAGATGTTTTTGTCCATCAGAAGATGCTACAGCAGCCCAAGAGATGCCCTGACAGGCTCATTTCTAAAGATCAAGGATCCTACAGTTTTAGTCATAGTAACAAATGAAAAGGAATTACCCCTAGTATCAATAAAGGCTGGGGCATGAAGGGATAGACAAGCACTTCAGAGTAGTGGAGGATGAAAGTCTGGACATGACCTGGCGATGTGGGCTTGTGGTCCAGAAAGCCCACCATGTCCTGGGCTGCATCAAGAGATGAGGACTTCTCACACTACTGCAAGTACATCGTTACCTAGGAAAACAAACTTACTGCATCTACATCCAGCCCTCTTTTCTACCCTAGACACTGAGCCCTGCAAATCCCTTTCCTGTCATAGGCCTGCTTGTTCCTTGAAATCTAGGCTGCACGCTCTCCATAGACTAGAAAGACATCTTACACCTGTGACTACAGTGTGTGGAACCATATACCTGAAACGGAAGCTTGATTTTTCATGAAAGTCAAAAATTCAGACACATGGAATTTCTATTAATCATTATTACACTCACAAATGGATTTTCCCATTTCTCAGTTTGGAGACTCAAAAGCTTTAAGGAAGTTTTATCTGAAAGACACATCATCAAATTGGACAACCCAAACCCTTCTGTCAAAAATGTCACATAATGAGTCTACAGGTAAGATTTAAAATACTTCTGTAAATGAAGGAAGATAGGAAAAGAGACTTTCCACTTTGGAAAATTTTATTCGTTGTCTGCCTACAACAGTACTGTGTATAACTAGTTGAATTGCTGTCACAGTGCCGGGTCTGCAGAGAATATATAGCTATTTATTTTTTAAATGATTAAAAATTTCAGGATCTAGCACTTCAAAGGCACTGCAACAACAGTGGAAAAAATTTACTTTGCAAAATCTTAGAAAGTTCAAATTGGCAAGGTCTCTTTAATTGGCTTTAAAACATTTAATAAAAGTTTTATGATACAATCCTACCCTACAGTCACCATTAATCCCATATGGCTATGGGAGATACCAAGTAACCTATGAAAGCTGGAAGAGAACATTTTGTTTTGTTTCCAATATATTAGTGTTTACTGAAGCAATTGCAGGAGATTTAACAAATCATCTCAAAAAAAGAAGTTGCCGCAAGTTCCCCTTTCTTGTTATGACAGGCAGCCCCATGACTTATTCTGAGTTCTAGCCCCAGCTCTGCCCCAACTGTTTTTCCACTCTTATGCAAACAAGGAATTATTCGTTTATTTCTATTTCCTAATCCTAAATTGGATCACTATCATTTGATTTGAAGAGATGCCACACAATGCCTCAGAGAGAGCAGGTTTAACATCATGCTGCCTCATTGCACAAGATGACACAAGTCATGGAAAAGTGGTAGGGTAGAAGGATAGGACTTTTATAAAAGGTAGCTATTTGTGCATAAACTTGAATAAGACTGCCAATGAAGTTCCAGCAGGCAAGGTGGTATGGAAGACAAGCGATAGGCTCGTAGAGGTTGGCAGAATATTATAAGTGGGTTTCACAATACATCAGGAGATTTCTCAATCCACCAATGTACATGTGAACATCAAAAATTCAGTGGCAATGTGGGAAAAGAGAAGCAGAAGATGATTTTTTTTTTTTTTTTACCTGGGCTGCAAAGCAGACAAGAGGAATGGCCATTGCAAATTGAGAGCATACTAAAAGTAAAAAAAACATCTTTAAGGTCTGCATGCAGCACCTTGGTACTAAACGTGGAATGAAGTGTTGAACACAGCTGTAAATCCCACCAGCCCCGATAAAACCTCTGTTCGTAAAGCGCAGGCACTCAGGTGGGGCTTCACCTCCTCTGGCAGCATCTGCTGCCACCAGCACTACCCTTCTCCTGGGTTGCTGTGATGGTCCCCTTTTGGTATGCCAGCTCCAGGACAAGGACTAACTCAAGCAAAGATGAGCTCATCTGTCCTTTTAAAGTATTCTGGCACACCTTGAAAAGCATGCAGGTAGGGTAAAAACATCAGTGGGATGCTTTAAAGCCTACTCTTCTAAATCCCTGTTTGTTCTGACACAGAGCATTGCCCACTAGCAGGCGGCATCAGCAAAACCCAAAATACCATCTGTTTTTAAAGTATCCACAGGAAATCCCTGCAAGCAAAGAAACCAACAGGCTGTTAGACTTTACCTGTGGGGTTCTCTTCACAAGCTAATAGTTTCCTCCTTATGACATTGGCTCCTGCCCAAGTGAGATGTACTTCAAAGGAAGAGCTTCCCCAGTAGGAACTCGAAGCTGGAAGTGCTGTGACCAACAGGCCGCTACGGGACCCTCGTCTCCAAGCCTGTGTTGCTTTCACTCTCTTGAAGAGTAAAAGATAAGGAAAAGAAACTGCAAGTGCTTGTTCCCTGCTATGTTTTCTCATGGCTGTTTGCCATGTGGTGCGCTGAGGAAAAACGTTGTGCGTTTTTTGTGCAGCCCCAACTGCAAGAAGGTGCTGGTGCAGCCCTGTTGCAATTAGTCAGATGTGTCTGCTTGTTGCTGGAGGCAAGGAAAGAAACAACATGCCAGTAAGGCTCCTAAAGCAGGTAACATGGAAAACAGCTGTTTATCCAGTGCGAGGAAGTAAAATGATCATTCATCAGAGCTGAACTAAGAACTTCTCTACAGCCTTGAGATGGACCCAAGGGAGCCATGTGAAGTTACATGAGGTAAACATGGGAGTTGTCTGGAATAGGAGTGATGTACTGAGGTGAACCCCTGACCAAGCTTCGCATTAAAAGGAGACAAGGGAAAACTCATGTTTTTGGAACACGCTAAGAGATCTATCCCAAGAGCTTGATTTGAAGTAAGGGACTCTCAGTGAGTCCCTCCCCCTGAATCACAAAAAAAGCCCAAACCTCGAATTCTCAAAACACCTTAGTTGCATGATACAGGCAGTAACCTCCCATGGTGTCTATCCCTCTTCTGGGTGAGGAAGAAATGTTACACAGAGGAAGCTCCCTCTGCTCTCCCATTGCTTCCTCTGGAAGTAAGAGAGGCTGTGAATGTATGACCACCTCTTCTCAGGCTGCCCCTTCTGCCACTACTTACTCAGCCCTGGGTGCAACACATGGGGCATTTCCCACCAGTATCAGTGGGAAACATCAAGACGGGTCTTAGATTTGCAGGATGCCAAAGGAAAGGGCTTTATATTGAACAGGATCAAATAGCAGGACAGACTAACTGAGGTGAGATATGAGGACACTTATTCAGGGCCAAAGGTTAATGCCTCCCCACACGATGAGGGTTGGTATCTGAGGAATCCAGAGGCCACTATGCAGCTACTGACCTTTGCCCCAGGATCTGAGAGGCAGTGCTCACCAGCTCCCAGGTTGGGCATGTGCCAGAGCAAAGACAGTCTGGAGCAGAAACTGAGATACCATTACTAGAAGAAAGCTATAACATCAGTAAAGCAGACCGCGATGGAGGGAAATAAACTGGCTTATGGCTTGGCTTATTGTAAGCCCTGCTAACACTAAACTGGAGTATGAGGACAGTGACCAAAAGACAGCAGGTTCATGAGACAGTGCCTATGTAAATGACACCTGTAAAGAAATGGAGGATTACCTTTCCAAAGGATTACTTTTTCAAATTGAGTATCTCTCTGGCTCTCCCAATAGTTGCTGATCCTCCAAAGGAGCTCCTGGTCCTCCACGGGGCTTTTCAGCACATAAATAACACTCCCTGGACAGCAATGGAACAACCCAGCTCCTGAATCATAGAATCAGCTGGGTTGGAAAAGATCTCTGAGATCACCAAGTTCAACCTTTGATCCACAACCACCACAGTTATTAGACCATGGCACTAAGTCCCATATTCAGTCTCAGAAGTGCACCCCAACAGGAAAAAGGGCACATTTTAGGGGCTGTACTGCTAGTGCCAGCTGCCTTCCTGCTGTGCGATAGGAAATATGGTGGTGGTATATAAACAGCCTGGATGCTTTTGACTCTCGTGTTGTGAAGTTTTGCTTCCTCTACTCCCCATCAGATATGGGAGCTCTCCCATGTGGCTGTTGCTTCTGGTCCAGCATCCACCACAAATGCATTCAGTTGCTACTGTCCAAAGAAGAGGGGGGCTGAAGTGCTGAGCAGGCTCTTGCTATTTGCACAGCCAGCCACCATGGCACCCCACAGCATGCAGCACCAGGGCTGTCACTGTGTGCATTCCAGATGATGCTGCAGCCTGGGGGTCTGCACCTGTTCCAAGGTGTCATGGGAAGAAGGACAGACTGGGATTGCCACTGCCAGGCTGGCCTGTGGGGAAGCCCTTGTGCCTTGACGCAGTGCAAGTGCATTTCCACAGCCTCTGGAGATGTGGCACAATAATCTGGAGCAGCTGCTAGCATTCCTCCTGTACCCCAGGAGTGATCAAAGGCCTGGAATGGCTTCACTTCTTCAGTGTTACTAGAAGAGTGGAGCAGTGTCAAGGATACACAGGAATTTCCCTTTTGTCACAGCTGTAGCCACAGAGCATTTATAGGAAGCAGAAGGGATAAGTGATCCAGCTATCAAGTATTTCCCAAAATCTCTCCACAGATACAGGCAGTAGGCTCAGTTTTCTCCCTGTCCTTATGCTCTCCTTAGGGATCCAGTAGAAGTGCTGTACCAGTTCTGGAAAAGTGGGACCAGATGAGGTCTTTGGAGGTCAGGTACAGCTTTGTGGGGCTTGCAGTGAAGAGTTTCACTGAAAGTGTAAATATATCATACTCCTATCACTGCTAAGCCACAAATCTTGAAAGTATGAAAGCAAACTTTGGTCTTTCAAAGAAGAACTCACCAAGAACAAGTCCTTAGTAGGCATAAAAATAATCAAAATAAACCAAGAACACATTATTTAAGTGTTCCATTGTTTGCCAAGTAGCTTACAAGCACCAGTGGGAGCTAGGGAAAAAAGGTCTTTGCACAGAAACTGCTAAGAATGCCTATTATATCACACTTCCCAACAAAGCCCAGGCTGTTATCATGGCAGTGATCACCCTTGTGCAACAAACATGATCAAAAAGGTCACAAGTGCTTCCATATGAAAAATCCCCTGGTGACTAAAAGAAGGAATCATGCAGGCAGAGCAAGGTTAAGGTGAGATGTAACTCTCATCTCACTGGGTGTCCTTGAGAACTATACTGTGACACACATGATGATGTGAATATAGAACAAAAAGATGCTGCAAGAACAAGCAGAGGTGTTGTCCAGTTCACCTTACATCGTTTGTTTCCACACTGGAAAACTTAGCAAGAAGAAAAAAAGGAACCTCACTTCATGTATAGCCCCCTACTAAACACTACACAGACCTTATTTCCTAGAGTTTAAAAGTGAAACTAGAAGTTTTCCTTGATGTGTTAGTCTATCATATTTAATGTTAAAAATGGAAAAGAATTATTAGTCTTAACACATGCTACTAAAATCTCTAAGGTAAATAGTTGAAAATATGCAAGTAGATATTCCACATGCAGGACAGACACATGCTATTTTATGTGAATTATTAAAGGACTAGGCTGAAAATATGCAGACTTTAGGGCCGTGTTTTAAGAAATTTTAACTAAAAACATATGCAGAGTATGCATTCTAGCAGATAATTACACAGAGTAGAGCACGACGCACAGAGAAAATAGAAACTGTAGCAACATGCACTTTTTATCTAATAAATACATGTATTTTAAAAGTACTTCCAATTTTCCTTTTTAAAAAAGCAAATTTTTAGGCACTATAGGTCACCTACCTTTAGAATCTCCCTAATCTAATCTACAATGTGTAAACACACTGAGATTGAGAAAATTCAGAATACTATTTTTAACATATTCCCTTGTCCAAACCAAAAGTTTGAAGGAAAAAAAAAAAAAAAAAAAAGACAACCTACAAATGTCCAAGAAAATATGAAACCTAGGAGATGACAAAGCCAGTCCTTCTCAACCCATAGCTCCTTCTCCTTCCAAGAACTGGGGAGTCTATATTTAAAGGCCTTGCGCATTTTCTCATGTTCCCAGGATACTCAGCAATTTGAGATAAAATGAGTAAAAGGGTCACCTCTTTACCTGAGTTTTGTTCAGGTAAGGAGGTCGTTAAGTACTTTCTTTACCTGAGATTTCTGTACGTTTTTAAAGTAAGAATCATCAGATGTCTGACCCACTTTTCCTGCAAAAACTTAGATCTAACTTTATATATTTTTGATCCATATTATTTGTGTCTGTATATAGGGGACAGGGAACAAAACACATGCAAGTATAAGATGCTACTTCTCTTTACTTGTCTGAGAGGACTAATGTAACTATAAAACTCTGCACCATCGATACAGGAATCACAAACCTCCCTTAGCTGCTTTTGAAGGTGTTCTTGTGTGCTTTATGAGCTTTGCTAGAGAAGACAAACTTGTGTTGATAGGATGGCAACACTCACTACTTGCTAGTAAGCCCAGGCTGAAACTTCATTGTTTTTGTTTCCTAGAGAAAGAACTGAGATCACATCTGCATTTTATAAAAGCTCCTGAACAGTTACTGATCGACAATAACCAGCAGCCAATGCTTTGCCTCTAGAAACTTGCATTGTTTTGCAGTTGGAGTTGCTAGATACCATGTCCTCATAAAAAGTCTGGCTAAGTCATTTAAGTTCTGAAACTGAGAGCTGCACTCCCCCGAACAGCTAACAGAAATTGTTACTAACAAGAAGTAGATGTGACAGGCTCTGGGCTACATTATTTGGCTTCCTTTGTTCTTTAAAGGATACTCATTGTCAGCTCAAAATCTGCTAGTATTTCCAGCTTCTGTGAAATAAGGCTAGTTTGAGTTAATAACTCAGATGTAAATAGGAAAAAAATGCATTTTCCTATCTGTTTTCTGGGGTTTAGTATAAAATCTGCAAATGCATTAGAACAGTAGGGTAGGGAGCCAGAGGTGCTATGGGACTTAAAAGTCTCCACACTATTTGCAGCCAATTAAGGTGCAGGGGTAGGGAGAAGGACTTGTAAAACCCTCTGCCTCTCTCCAATTTCTCTGACAAACACATGGACTGAATTTTATAAGGACTGGTCTAGCAGTAAAGCTACAAGTAAGGCAACTTTTGTCTGTTACCCCAAGGTTCTTTGTTATCTACACCCTGATGGGTGCTGGGGGCTCGGGCCTGTAGCAGGGAAGGGTGCCTGTTTTGCCTCGTGGGTGACGGAACGTTTTGCTTGCCTGTTCCTAGAAACACGAATCCTTTTCCTGTTCAAGCTCCCTGTTCTGTGAATTATGGCAGGTCCGTCAATCCTTCTTCCACAGTTGCTGTTGAAGGCTATCATGTATCAGACTAGTGCACTCCTGCCAGAGAGGCTCCTTACACTTGCTTGTTTGCCCAGGACAGGCACCACTGACACAGTTGTGCTTTGCTTAGCTCAGGATCACACGCACCTTAGGGCACACACTGCTCTGTTCCCAGAGCACGTGAGCAAACTGGATGTGTTCTGAATCCAAAGTAATTGTGCCTTCAAACTCCCCACAAGATGCTGGATTGAGAAGAGTTATGGAAAAGTGGGTTCTGGGGCGGACTTGGAGCATGGAAGCTAAGGGGTAGAAATCAGCCACTGGACAGCAGAGCCTCTTCATGGGATGCTAGTACAGGATTGGAAATAAGGAGGTCTCTGAATGCCCTCTGCCACATCAGACTCTACTTGCCGCATTTCTTCCTCTCTCCTTGCTTTTGCTCCTTTGTTCGAAATACAGTAGAACAAAGGCTGTAGCTCAGACATGCAGCTAGAACTGACTTGTCCTCCAACAAACACACAGTATGTTTAAGCGTGTTTGGCACAGGGAGAGAAGATAGGAGCTTCTCCTGCAGCAAGAAAATAGCAGTCAGTTACATGGGAACAAGGAGGCATGGAAGTCGTCACTGGGTTTTCTTCCTCCACGTCACACCTGCAGGTACCCACAGCTTGCAATAACATGCAGATGGGGTCTAGCAGGATCAGTGTTCCCACAGTAGCTACAGACAGGCTGCAGTTTGCCCCAGCTTCCCCTCCTTGAGATGGAATCCAGTCACCTTACAGATAGCTCTTCACATTGCGTTGTTCAGGGAAAGCACAGGCTGTCAGGAAAGCCTCAATCACACTCAGTCCACCTTCCAAGGAGCATTTTACATACACTACAGCACCCTACCTTCGTCCTGCAGGGCATTCTAGTTAGCTAGAAATTTTTGGGCTGGGATCAAGTTAGCTTGCACTTAGTCCTGAGCCTCT